GAGTTGGAAACCGGTGTCGCCGAGACAGTCTTCACCTGACCGAAGAATTCCCGTCGAGGTGACTCTCCCAATGCTCGCTTCGCAGAGCACCACTCGCTGATCTGGAACGGGTCCGTCACACGCACAAGCAAAAACTGTTTTCAAAGGCAAAAAACTCGTCAATAAACATAATCACCGGAAGATTTAAATAACAAAAACAAAATATATAAATAAAATATTTAATTTTAAAAATATCTAGAAAGTGTAACTTTTTGACCGAATGAAACTTCTTATTCACCAAGAGTGAAAACACACTAAAGCAGGCGTGTCACACCACCCCCCTCCCCCGCAACTACTTGGCCTGCGTGGGAAGCCCGGCGCTCGTGCGAGCGCGGGCAACTTCCCCTAACTCTCCTACCTTTCCCCTCCTAATCCAAAAGGGATATACGCGCCCAAGCTGAAGCTGCACGAGGCGTGGAATAGTCGCTGCTTAAATGCGCGGCGAAAAAATGTTTGCACAGTTTATTCTATCGAACAACTATGATTTGAATTTTGTGTACATTTTTTACCACTCACAACTATTTTGTGTTTATTTTCTTTTTAATTTCTGCCGCGTATAGACATTTTTTGGCGAGGGGTAGGAAATTGTTTGTATGGCGAATTCTTTCGTATTGTGTTATGTTTATTAAATCATTCGATTGTTTGTTGTTCGCAGTTATATTGTGGAATAAATTTTAAAAGAAGATTCTATCTCTTACGGACGAACAGCTCTCTTAAGTCATAAATATTTTCTTTTAAACGTACTGATTTGAAAGTAGGAAATAAATACAATTATTTCACTCTTAAAAAACATAGTTACAAAATCAAGATAATTTCCATTCAAAATCTTCAATTTTACTCTCAATTAACAATTTGAGATCAGATTGATTTAGTATTATATTTTAATAGATTATATCTTTGCTTTAGTGGAGGAAATGGAAATTAATGTAGGGTAATAACTGTGAACTGACTTTTCCAAAAGCCTGTCATGAGCCAGGTATCTAATGAAGAACTGAATCTCCGGAGGAATTAGAACAACCCTTACTTTTTAAATCTCGCGCCAGTTGCTCTGAAGGGAGTGCCTGCGAAGTAAGCTAGTTAGTTCCCTTATACGCGACCTTGCCGGCGCTGCTCTAGTGTCTGATTTTTAGCTTTTTGTTTAATAAATCATTTTTGTTTCATTACCCATATGTAGCGTAGATAAATGTTTGAAGTTATATAAACTTTCATGGGAATTTTTTTATGTCCTTGATGTAATTGAGCCAAATTCTATTAGTCGCAAAAACTGTGAAGTGTTTTAGAAAAATAATATTCGATATCCGGTTTAGAAATGACACCAAAATCATAGAAGTAAACTCTATTGTAAAATGAACAATAAAGTCCCGAAATACTACGAATAAAAGTATGTGGTAAAAAGGTGATGGTAATGTGGTTACGCTAGTGCCACAACTTAGTATCAGAATAAGAGAATTCAGCATTTGCTTAGTTTGGTCATCTCAAATTACAAAATAAATAAATCGCATTATCGTAATGTTGAAATTAATCAGCTAAGCATCATTAAAAGTGTCGAGAGTGAGGTGAATTACGTTTAAGTGCGTTTCGTGTGCAGGAATTGTATGCTCATAGTTTTGTTATTGTTTATCGGGTATCGTTTAAAATAACTTCATTGTAACTTGGCGCTCGTAGTACCCGGCAGCCCCATTCCCCTTCACATCAAACTGTCAAGGACGCTCGAATTTTATTCGAGCTCAATTGATTCGATTCATCTCTTGAAAATGGGTAAAGTCCGTTTCACGCTTGTAATACACGTACGTAGTAGAAAAATTTCCGTATTATTCACTAATGTAATTTTGACGCCAAATAAAACACGCATTTAAAAACTTAGATTATCGTTAAAATTAAAAATGTATTGCAAAAATTATATCAAAATGTTTGTAGCAAGGTTGCAGTGGACATTTTAATGGACGCGTTCGTGCCCTCAGCGCTCGGTGCACCGTTGCGGCATCGCTCGCTTTCTTTCATTGAATTCTCCGCCGCGCTCGGGCAGAACCGCCACTCCCGCGACATGGAACGGGTTCTGGTGGCGACCTGCCTTTATTGTTTTGTTTTTATTGGCTCCCTCCGGCGGCAGATGAAGCAACTAAGTCCCAGGGCATCGTTGACTTTATTCGCGCAACGCTTTGCGACGCTGCGGGCGTGCGAGTCACGAACACTTGCGCTACGTAATGCTCGGGTTAAAGGAAGAATGCGGTTGACCCTTGGTTACAGGGATGGCTACAGGTTGTTGGGTTGCAATGAAGACAGTTATGTGCGTTCCACATCCCCGACTTCGTTGCGGTCATGAGCCAATAAGCTATTAACTATCACCTCGAAATGGATTTTTTCGAATGAGTTTCTCAACCACAAGCAGACCCAATTAATTTTTCAAAAGGGAAATCAATTTCAGTTCAGATGCTCATCAATGTTTTTAAAATAGTAATTGTTTTAATAGTTAGCCCAAAGTGAAAAATGTATGGGCATATGGATAACGGGAATACTGTTCACGGACGAAGAGATCTAGGATTGTAATTACTTTAAGTAAATATACAAAAATGATGCTGGCTGGGGGGGGGGTCATGGCCTCCCCTTGGAACCGCTACTGTTCTCAGCAGATCAGCTGGCACGTGTGTTTGAGTTTATTCATGGAATCTTGCTGTGTTGTCCCCTTTTTCGAGTCAGTTTTTTTTTTCTAAAAAATGACCCGCCAGTGAACAATAAATATCAACGGCTCTTCATAAGTAGAGGTTGCTTACGAGCGTCAGTCACGGCCTGTCGTTAATGCGAGAATAAATTGGTGTCTTCGTTGCGTCAGAGGCGATGCTAGACGCGGGGAACGATCTCTCGACCAGAAAGGTCGATGCCGGGTAGTGGAGTGGGATTTTTATTGGAGACGGCACGAAGCGCGACGAGGTCAGTCATTTTGCTAATACGGAGTTTCTCGTAGAAGCAAGTAAGCCTTGTCATGAATAATCATTCGTAGGGCCCGTTCAAAGCAAATTGTAAAGTAGCTTTCATCACATCAAAGAAACTTCTATTCACTGAATATTTGACGTGATGCACACTTAAGGTATACAATGTTCTACTAAAGGCTTGTGAGTTACTTAACGTAATTTCCAAATCACATCTAAGAGCACATTCCTCATCTCTTAGCTTAGAAGCTTAGAAACATCTCTTTAAAGTAAAAATATAAAATCTTTTCAGATAGAAAAGCAAATTATAGTTTCTGATTTGCAAATAATCAGATATATCATCGGTACTCAATAAAATTACATCTCAAACTAAGTAATTTTTTAGTGAAGTGAAGTAATATAATAAGACAATTTTACCTTTTTTAACCATTTCATGAAGATGGTATATAGAACAGCCGCTATACTTACGAGTACAAAACAAGACGGTTAATTTTTAGCTGCGAAATAAACGGTCGCGCTCAAGATGGAACTGTTCTTGTGCAAAATTACCATGTTTTTATGTAATACGTTCATCGAGCGTACAGGATTTTTTCATTTTATTTATTAGTTTATTTTTGATGAAATACATTTCAGTGACAGTAATGAGGCATTTGTAATCGTGAAAGTTGAAGAAGGCGAATGAATTACAGGTTCACGAGCAGTTGATGCGCTTGGTGGTTTTAAGTGATGCGTTGACTCTTCGTTAATTCCTGTAATTACAGGATAATTTCGTGGACACGTTTCGCTGTCGCTGACATTTCTCTTGCAGAGTGCCTAGGCTACGGAGTCAGTTTTACATTACATATTGTCGATATAGAACATTATAGTTGACATTCATTTTTCATTTCCTGTAAAAGTTTTATAACGAGGAAAATAAAGATATTTGATAATTAGAGTAAAATCAATCAATCAGTTTGATAATTAGTAATCACGTGTTCCTTTGACCAAATTGAGTAAAAAATAAGCCCCGAAAGTTCAAATAATGTGCAGATATTAAAATCAATTTGACTTTGGATCTTTTTTAGAGATCAAGGACTTATTTATTTGCAATGTGTTTATTAAATACGAAGATTAGAAGTCTACCACTGTTTTATGAAACAGTAACTTTTTTATATTCTTGGTCCGTAAAAACCTTTTGTCTTGCGTCAATATTATTCCAGTGTTCGTGAATATCATTTTTGCTAAAATATTTAATATAATGCTGTACTATAAGATATTATTTCATTTGCTGTTCTTGAGTATACAGTGACCACGCTACGTTTTGAAAAACAATGTTGTGAAGTTTTATTCAGCAGAATTTTTCCTTCTGTAGGTGACTAATATTTATTTATTCATTATCTGCTCTACCTGATTGCGCTATTTATGAATAAATAATATATTAATAATTAATTCCCCTAAGTATTCCCAATATTTTGCTCTCTAGTATGTATTAGCAAGGAGGGGAAAATAAGTATATTCTTATTCTTCAGTGCTATTTACTCTTTCAGCCAATAATAAATCACCATTAATCCCACTCTAAATTTCAATGATTTAAAGTTCATCATAAAATGATTCAGTATATAGTACTCAGTGATTGAAAGAGTTCATTCCACTTCGAGAATGGCTCACATGAAGAATGAATATAAGGAACACCCGCACAAAACTGGATTTTATATCTTATACTATTAATTTGTTTATATTACCATTTCATTTACAACTAAAGGCGTAAATGACGCATCACTGCAGTAAATAAACACCAACTTCATGCTTTCTCAAAACTTAAGTTGTCGCCAAACAGAGCAATTAACCGTTAGAAACCTCTCTTCAGCATCATACCAAGCAGTAATGGAGCTGAGTAACAACACATCTGAGGAAGAACGTTCTGCCGACCTCGTCGTTTATTTACTCTCCCCGCCCCGCTCCCCTCCGCGTCACGCCTCTCCTCGCCTCAATCTGCCCCGCCCTGCCCGCGAGAGGAAATGGCATGTCAGTGGCATTTTCTTGCTGTTCCTGGAGAGCGTCTCGAGCAAGACGCAGAGCCTCGGCGACTCCTGTTCTTCTCCCAGGGGAAAGGCTTGGAAACGAAAGGCTCTCGTCCTTTCACCGTCCGCCGGCGTCGAGTCGAGCGGCGCCGCACCGCCCGCACCGGCGTCAGTCGCGACTGCGCTTCTTCTGGGCGATGGGCAGGGAAAGCGTGCAGAATAAACCTTGTTCCATTGCGAACGGTAAACAGTCAAGTTTCACGGTTGTGACGGGCACTCGGTGAACAGCTACCGGCAGTAATTTTACGCTGATTGTTCGTAGCCACTGTTCATTGTTTTTTGTTTTTTTTTTGTAGTAGAGCTGTTGAGGAAGTAGCGAGAGATTAGAGGAAGAAACTAGCTATTTTATTGTTTTTTCAGCAATTAAGAATACGTTAACTTATCGGAGAATTAATAAAATTAAATATCTGTGTACGTTTACACTTCCTATATCAATACTACATGAACAAATTCTCGGTGTCCGCATTCGTAAATTGAAGGGTTGTCATTCTCATATAATTTTATGGAATACTATATCAATGAAAAATGTTTTCATTTTATTTTATTTTCTTAATTTTCTTTTAATTTGCCCATGCGAGTGTGTATTGGTTCCGGGCGCGTCACCTACTTACATCATATGTCACGTAAGTGTAGCATGCTATATACCTGGAAGCGGTGTTCCCTCCCTTGCTGGTACATGAGATCCGACGCCGACCTACGCCGTGTGCGAGGTTTCGCTCCTTATTCAAAGGGGCATCGCCCCAGTTAGGATAAGCTCTGAGCTCCCCTCACGTTTGGTAATGTAGTGCGTGTAAGTGTAAGTATAGACAAGTAAAGAAAGTGATAATGATGAGGAAAGAAAGATCACGAGCGGCCCTTAATCCGTTTAGGTACTGCTCCGGCATTCGCCTGGTGTTGATCGGGGAAACCACAAAAACGGATCAAAGAAGCCACTAGAATTCTCCTCCACACAGCTGCTCAGTGGGACATAGCTATGTAGCTAGTGGCAAAAATACGCCATTATCGGAAGTCGAACCACAGGACTTCCCGATCAATGACGTTGCAGAGGTAATAGGGGTTCCGCTTCATAATCTCAGATGGTATTTGCTTATCTACAATTGTTTGTTAATCTTTTTGTCCAGAAATGATAATAGAGAGAAAGGCATGACCATTTGAATACCATTTTATGACTAAAACGATTTCCCATTTCCAATTTGATTTTAAAAGAAAAACCATGACCTTTCGTTATTATAATATTTTTATTAATTAGTTTGCCACTGGTATTATGTTTTTCAACACAAGTGCTTAGAATCGATATTTTTATTGTGTCACATACTATATCGTTTTTTTCTAGAAACTTCGAATTGGCAGATGATAAAAATGAGTCATTTCTGAGATTGACATTAGATATTTTCTTGGTGCAGTACGTTGTTCATGGGGACCATTTATTGAAGAACGTGTTCGCTTGACCGAATGCTTAAATGAAATACATAGTACAATAATAGTGTGTGCTTTACAGCGGGGCGTCCATGTAGCAACTCATTGCTGAAGTCACCGCTGGTGCTGCTGCTCGTGGTAACTTTGGCAACGCCAACGCTACAAGATGTCCAAAGCGCCGTGCAGGCAGTCACCACCTTCAGCAACAGCCTCGTGCCTAAGCTCTACCAGGTAACGCTTTCCAGTTAATTACCCGGCTCCATTCGCTTTTCCCTGGAGACTTCAATGATGGATAAAGCGAGTAACTCGCTTTACAATCAACTTGTTTTGAACGAAGAATATAAATAATTGGGGCAATAACAATTAATAAAGCTAAGTATTGGATTAGTTTTCAGCAGTTGTCATACTTTCTTAATTACTTTTTGAATTAATTTGCAAGCTGTGATGGATGACGGGAAAATATGGCGTATTATTAGTGTTCTGAAATTTAAATAAACATTTCTTGAAAGAAGCAATGGTATCTTCTGTTTTGTTATTACATTATAATAAGTGTTTGTAAAACATTTTAAGATTTTTTACAGATTTTTATTTAACTTTCTGTTAAAACGTATTACATTTTAAACTAAGTTTCAGGTTTACTAAATATAAAAATCGTTCTAAAAATTATTATAGCCAGTTCTTTATAATTCCCTATGAAGATGAAGTAAATAGTCATGAAATGTCACTCCTGTAAAATGGAAATAAACCTTGTCTTAGATTGTATTCCCAATATTTCCGCGATTAATTTGAATTAGACTTTTTCTAGTTATAACTGAGTTTAAATATGGTAGATATTATAATATTTTAGTATTACGTAAGTATTTTCAATCAAGTGTTCTGTTGTAGCACCTTTAGCATCTATGGTAGTCCTTCTCAACGATCTGGATTAAATGCATAGTTGCTCGTATAATATACAGAGCATTGCCGGGGCAACTTACCATATACTCTCCCCCCCCCCTCCTTCGCCCTTGCCATGGCACATTTCCACTGCGCGATTGTCTCTTTTGTCTGCAGCAGCTCTGGGGCCTCTGTTTTCAGAAGGCCTGGATTAGGCTCTTATTGGTCCCATGTGTCGGTATCACACAGCGTTGTACATAATATTAAATTAGTTATTAATTTAGAAAATTTCGTGATGAACTAAGTTGCAGTGGAAATGAAGTAATGCTTCTAGAAACGTTTAAAGATAAATCCTTTTTTACTTTAAAATGTCTTGTTTTTATCAATACCGTGTTTGTTGTACATTTATTTGATTTGTATTGTTCATTATATTACAATTGTATTACTATCTGATTTATCGATCAGACTAGTTACCATACGAAGGTGGTTCCATGATTTCTAGGAAAACAAATTTTGGAATATATCCAAATTTTGGCATAACGAACACCTTAAGATTTTTTCGACTGCTCAAAAGAGTTTGAGCATTATTTAGAAACCCTCCCTCCAGAGGTTCAAACGTTTTGTGGAACACGCACACAAACGCACATACATACATTCAAACTTAAATATACATACATACACACACACATATACATATATATATATATATATATATATATATATATATACATCTAAACTTACAAACACACACATTATATGTAATGTAAATTTGCAGGCGTTGGCGCCTGGACGAGAAAATGTGGTGTTCGCCCCCTTCGGGCTGGCAACGAACATCGCCATGTTGCTGGAGGCGGCGGAGGGCGAAACGGCCGAGGAGATTCTTCGAACGTTCAGCATCGCCCCAGACGCCCGCGACGAGCTGAGGCAGGGCTTCAAGGCCTACTTCGACACCTTCGAGGTATGGCTCTTAAGAATAATGAGTTACAACAGTTAAGAATACGTTATACAACACATACGTATATTGAGATACTACAGCTCTATAGATTACTGTCATTCAAGTTGAATATTGACGTACTACTCTACACAATTCTGACGTTCGACATCATGGAATTCTTAGTAACAAAATATTTTAAAAGTAAGGTACAACCCAATTGAAACCTGAGATACAGTGTTATAGAATATTGAGGTAGTACAGCACTGTAGAAAATGGAGGTATAGCTAAAACAACTAAGGTCCGAGGAGAAATTTGAGGTAAAACGCGAAACGAAATATTTAACGTGATTGAGATGTAAAATATAACCCAACAAACGTGACTAAAATAAACATCTAATCCAATAGATTTATGACACTTTTGTTAACTTAGTCATATTTAATTATATGTTTTGAATCATATGTTCTTCTTAAATGGTATGGAACATTGTTCAAGGGAGTGATTGCGCATTCTTAAAAGAAATAATCACAAGTTCCTCACGTAATGAATTCAAGTTTCATGGTCGCTGCCATAAGTGAGCAAATTACTCGATCTGTAAGAGCATTTGACAGGCTAACGGTGTTTGTCAAGCAGCCACGAACAATCTTGTATAATAAACGGAAATCAATTATATCGTCTGTTGATCTTTTGTATGCCTTCAGCGTATATAGTTCATCAAAAGAAAATATTGAAAGTTATGTAATGCCGTAAAAAATCTTTCCTTAGATTCTGAAAGACAACGCATTTTGGAGGGCCCTAATATCGAAAAAATATTGTTTTTAAACATCTCTGCGCAATTGTTCGTACTTTCGTCCATCTGTGCAAATCACCATCACATAACTGTTTACAGAATTTTCTCGAGGATTTATAGTACGTGACCAATATCGCCACATTCAAAACCTTACAAATTTAAAATGATACTTTACAATAAGTCCCTAGAGCATTTTTTTCAAAAACCTCTAAATTAATTCTTTAAATGTTCTCGAATAGAGCATAGCACGGTGATTAAAAATCGTTAAAATAAAACATCGGTACAAATAGCCGTCAAATATAAAGTGAGCCGACTTCGTGGTATGTTTTCCTTTCTCTGCCATCGCGTAGAATTTCACTATTGCTCTTTGACGAGGAGAAAGTTGAATTTATGTCATCAACAGAACCATTGTAATACCGACTCCAAAAAACGTTAACTCCTTGAACATCACTCTTCACTTATTTCATACGAAATAATAGCAGGAAACTTTCTACGCAATGCAAAATTCATTTCGAAAGGTAGTTCTCCCTCATAACTAAATCCTTTGTTGAAACAATGCATCGCATTTATAACTAAATGAGTATTGTTCGCGGCCAATCACTTTTGGAATCACTTTTGGATCAAATCCATTTCTAACATGGTGATTATAGGAATACAATTACGTGCTAAAGATATTGTTTTGGTTAAATCTGGCTATGATGTGTACCAATTGCTCGTAACGTTTATTTAAAAGTCATCAAATTACTAAAAAAATAAACCCATTAGAAACTTATGACTTAGAAAATCACACATCACAATCAATAAGTGAACATGTTATAAACTAGTGGTTCTAAAACAGCTCGTACTTTCTCCTCCGTAATTTTACGCAGAAGTACTCAAATTTGCGAAAAAATGTATATTACCTTATTTCAAAATCTATCTTTAAGGAACCGATTTCATTAGGGGAAAAATCTACATCTTTAATATTTAAGTTCTAGGAAGAAATCGAAAAAATTGAGCTTTTGCAATTTTTGAACGATCAGAGTTTTCAACATACCTGAGACCATTCTTTTAAAGATCCTTCACACTATTCAACAACAAAATTTAATCAACAACGATGGAATAATTTTTTTGAAAATTTGGAAAATGTCCCAGCGGCTTCATGTAAAGTACCCCCGCCCAAATAAAAAATCGGTTTCATATTCAAAGGGCTCCGACGTCAGCTAGATCGGTTTTGAGATATCAATTCTGGAGAAAATCGGCAGAACGGTTTAGCCGCAGGAGTTGTTCGCGGACGGACGGACGGACGGACGGACGGACGGACGTTTTGCCGTCATTCGATTTTTCGATACCAAGGACACACAAAACATGCAGTCTGCTTACACCACGTGATAGAGGATATTTTTTCTAAATTTAGAAACTGGATTTATCCACTTTTTCGTTACCAGGGCCCTGTAATAAGAGTTACTGCTGAAAATATGCCTCTTTTTTGCGCAGCATTACATAACTTTCTCTCTACTCCGTGGGGAAAAAGTAAAATGACCTGGTTTAATTGTCATATACATAATAAAGAGTTAGTTTAATTTTATTTCAAAAATATCATAATTGTTTGTAAATAAAATTAAACTTATTGATTTCCACTATAAGACGCTCTAAGAAGAATGACGTGTAATTTTAAACATTTACGTACCATTCGCAACCATTGTGAATATAAACATGAACATAGTCACCCACACGGACATCGATGAAGAAATACTCTGAGCAGAATGTCTTTACACAACCGAAATACAGAAAATAAAATTGACATTTACCATTAGGTCACTACCGATTCCGTAGATAGTATTAGAGCATTAATGATGATGGTTCATAAAGATGAAGAATGACAATGTATTCTTTTACAAACTTCATTAATTCCTATCGATATAAAATGCTTTAATATGGCTGTATCGCACAATGGTGTTTTGTTCTGAGATTACTTTAGGTGTACGTGATAGCTAGGGATTATCGAATTTTAAAAGGTTAATGTTCACGTTCCAATTCACTATTCTGAATGGTCCCAACGAATGGCATAGGATCAAACATTTGCTTGCCCGTTACATTACTTAATTTTCGTTGCGAATGAGCCTTTGGGCTGTAGTTTGTCAATAATAGTTCCAGGCAGAAAAATATTCGTTCGCTGTTTATAAGCTCCACGCATTTTACTAATTTGATATTGCACCACCCCATCCCCCTCTGCTTAATGCAAGTACTCTGTGTGCACAGCACGCTGCAGCGGCGTCGGCGGAGAGTGGCGAAGCCGCAGGAGCCTTCAACATGGCGATGCTGCGCACGGCCGCTATCCTGTCTCCAGAATACAAGACTCTACTGGCCAAATACTACCGCGCCAACATTACTGAAGTGCAGCAATTCGACAATTTCACTGGTATTATTTTTATATTTCAACTTGTTCTGTTCTTTCACGGAGTTCTCTGATATTGTACACGACCCGTATTGTAAAACGTATTGATATTTGAACAACTGAATTTTATTTTTCTCAGAGTTTAAAAATTTTGACCAAATACATCGTTTGAACTGTTTCTGGGAGAACAAATACCTAACGAAATATGTTGACATACTTTTAAGAACACATTGCGCATGGCAATAATTGCGGTTGAGGCCAGAATGCACAAGACTTTCAATATCTGAATAAGTTGAGATTCCTAGTAGCCCTGTATAAATATCCTTCTACATTTTTGAGCCAGTATGCGTTACACTTGGCATTCATTTCGGTATTCAAATATACAATATTGAGGATCGAGATCGTGATTCTGAGCGAATCGGAGTTTTAAAGTTATTGTAAACATTTATTGTTCGAATAAGTATAGAGACCAAATTAATGTGTTGATTATTTTTTAGATAGTGTTTAACACAGAAGTTGAAAGATTCCATTCTAGGCAAAAGAACCACACGTAACGAGATTACACAGTTTGTACGCAACGGTGCGTCTAAATACGAAAGTTTAAACAGAAATCTGGAATCTTAGCTGCCACGTAAACGTAATATGGAGGATTTTGGGTGGCAATGTATAAGCTCTCATTGCGCCTCTCTTCAGGGCTATGAACATAATGATCGCTAATGATTTCGCATTTAACCCCGAAAAAGTCGCAATACGACGATGAGTACGTTGTCAGCTATTTCTAGGAATACAATATGACAATTAAATTGCACGTAGCTTTGAAGGCCACTGTATGTAAACCATAACGTTGCTTTGCCTAGAAATACAATGATTAATGAAATGCATTTAGTCCTGAAGAAGGTCGCAGTGTGACGATTAAAATATTGCCAGCCTTGCCTAGGAATGCAATAAAATGGCTGATGAAATGGTATTTAGCCCTGAAGAAGGTCGCAATATGACAAACAAGAAGTTGCCAGCCACGCTTAGAAATACAATGAAAACAAATTAAATCGCAAGTAGCCCTGAAGAAGGTCGCAACATGACAACAAAAACGTTGCCATTTTTGACTAGGAATACAATGAACGTAAATGAAATCACATTTTAACCATGATGAAGGTCGAAGTACGACGACCAGAATGTTTCCAGTCGTGCCTGGGGATACAATGATGACAAATGAAACCACATTGAGCCCTGAAGAAGGTCGCAGTATAACGACCCGTATGTTGCACGCCATGCCTAGTTACACAAAGATGGCAAATAAAATCGAATCGATTTAACCCCGAAGAAGGTCGTAGTGTGACGACTGGAACGTTCCACGTCTCTTCCCAGCCAGCGGAGATTCCAAGCGAGCGCGTGCGCAGGGTCGCAGCCGCCGGCGCTGGCGCTGGAGCTGCGCACGGACTCGGGCGTGATGAGCCACTGGCGCGACTACCAGCGCCTGGGCGTGTTCACCTTCCTGTCGCACCGCGGCGCCGCGCCCTTCCACCGCGCGCCGGGCGACGCCGTCGCCGTGCCCATGATCCCGCAGGTGGGCGTGTTCCGCTCGGGCCGCCTCGACCACCTCGCCTGCAGCGCCGTCGAGCTGCAGCTGGAGGTCAGTCCTTTCTCCTCCACCTCTTCATTCCCACACTACTCCTCTGACTGATTACACCGGCGGGTTACAAAATGACAAAAAGGCGTCAGACCCAAAGACTTGTCACCTGTTCTCGTAGGCTTCCGCGGCCAGAGTCGTGATCTGGGTTGTTCGGGTGACGGCGCGTCTCAGGCTGAGGTGCCGACTTTTCGACCGACATATTGCGGTCTTCTCTAGGGCTTTAGTGTCAACAGTCATGACCTCAGCTCTGAAGAAGACCAAGATATGTTGGTGGTAACGTCGGCCTCTCAGCCTTCGACGTAGCCTCACCCGATCACCCCAGATTATGACTTGGCACACGTCTCGTCACATTCAGCGTGTTGACGTGCAGACTGAGAATCCGAATCCAGAATTGCGCCACAACCTTCCAGTTTTGTCAACGCGAAATAAAACTACGCGATTTTCAATTTACAATTTCATGTTTTTTTCGTGATTTAAAAAACTGGAGGATGGTGGCGCTATTGTGGCTTCAGATATGAATTCAGCGCGTCGACACGTGTGTATGTGTCATTGTGTTGTATGATAAAATTAAAGGGTTTCCTACAAGTTAACTTTTCAAGAGGCACCAAAAACTTGATTACGTAGACGAACTTTGAAATGATTTTTTTACGCGCTTTATATCTTTCAATGTGTTTGGCACTTGCCGAAAGAAAATGTCCGAAGAGATAGCGTCAGTTTTAGGGAATAATTGTGAAGTATATCAGAATATGGAATTTTGAACATGTTTGGTTCTTATAGGAAACCTCTCAATTGTGTTGTTTGGTGATATCCTGCTTTTCTTGTAATTAAGGTTTGGTTGTCTTAACTTAATTTTAGTTTGCAGAAATTTCTTTTGTTACAAAAAATGTTTCATAATACAATTTACTAGGGCATATAGATGGTGTGAAAATTATTTTACTAATAATCATGTGTTGGAACATATTATATATCTTAGTTCCACATGAAACACTTGCCCCTAATTGATAGGCAACTCATCTTGCACTAGTGTTTAGCAGGACTCGTACTGACGCTTTGACAAGTGATTTCGGATACCAACCTTAATTGAGCCATCGCAAATTGAGTTTCATACTAAACCTAAGCAAATGTCATGTATGAAACATTTATATGAAATTTCTTACCGCAATTCCGTTGGCAACAAATAATCATCTTCGACCCCCTTCCAAGCCCAATAAGTGTGTTGCATTTAATCTGAAAGACTCAGTACTCGTTTTCCAACTCACCCTGACGTGGCGCGCGCAGGTGGGCGCGGTGAACCTCCTGCTGCTGGTGCCGGACGCGGCGGACTCGATGGACGAGCTGCTGGTGAAGCTGTCGGGCGTGCAGTTCGCGCACCTGCCGGCGTGGCTGGCGTGGGGCGAGCGGGAGGTGGCGCTGCCGCAGCTGGCGGTGCTGTCGTCGGCGCTGGACCTGGCGCCGTTCCTGCGCCAGCTGGGGCTGCGCCGCGCGCTGAACGCGTCCGCCGCCGACCTGGGCCGCGCGCGCGCGCGCTCCCCGGCCGCGCCCGCCGCCGGGCCGTCGCGCCTCGTGGCCGACGCGCCGCGCCTCTACCTCAAGTCCGTCACGCAGGACGCCTACTTCTCCACCTCCTTCGTCGCCGTCAACTCGGTCGGCTCCGTGTCGGCCAACCTCAGTAAGTGCTTGGGCTCCGGGGACGGATGAGGTAGCTCGCGCCAAAATAGGTTAGCAATGCAGTGTCTAATCGGGGATCTGAGAGGGAATATTCGACACAGGCCGGTTTCAGCACTAGGTCGAATTCAGCCGCTGTGTGGAGGAAAATTCTACCGGACGACTCCTCTGATCGGAATTTTTCCGTCATTTCTCTCTCAAAACCATGACAATACCGAGGCAATATCCTTACAAACGGGACGCTGATTGTGCAATATCAAACCCTTTATTTAAAAATTCGCCATTCATTAACGTTTTTAAAACTAAACTTTTAGCTTTATGTAATTTTTTAGTTAAAGATTCAATTTAAAAAAATTGATAAAATACAGTTCTCCAAAATGTAAAATCCATTTTCTTCGATACGCATATGTAATGACCTGTTTCTAGTTTTGATGGTTAAATCATTCTTTCTTCATTTATGACCTCTCCCCTGAAACAAATTCGACGAAATTTCTTCTAAAGTTTCTGTTTACAGCAGGCATCTACGGTCGCCAGCGTTGGTGAATGTAATGCGTTACATCATAAAATTGTGGTCACGCTTTCATGAAAAGAAAAGGCCATTGTGCTTAGTGAATCACTACTTAAATTAACCAAGTGTGTACACCAAGTGTGTTCCTTTATGCTAGATTATTGCAGACTCACTCAGTTCTTTTAAAAAGTGACTAAGAATAGCGGTTTCGCTGCTCCCAGTTGCACATAGAATTTTTAAGACAACGTTAATAGCGATGTTGTTTCTTAGTCTTTACTGAGAATGTTACTGTCATAATCGTTTCCTAAGAACCAAATCCACATTGTCTCTGTTAATACTTTTCATAACTGAAATAATATTTTTTTTAATGTCTCAACAACTCTTAATCTATCACCAGGCAAATTCGAAGAGATTAATTTTTATTATATTTTTTAAAAACCCTTGAAGGTATATTAGTAAAGACAGGTTTGTCTCGCGTATAATTTTGAGCTGCAAATTAAAAACCTTTCGCTGTACTTTTAAGATAGAAGTTACAATTTAATACCTAAAAAATTGTAAAAAAGTCCTAATTGTTGTTCTCTTCAGATGAGATACATGAATCTTTATGAAAGCGCTAGCTTACTGTAGAACTTTTTAGTACACAACTGCGTACTGTATTAAAAATCGCTGTCAGCCAGCGAATATTTCTGATTGTACATGCTTTGTAATAACTTCCTTAATCAAGTGCCAAATACTCTTTGGCACAGAAGTTACTCAACAGTTTTCATACGAAATTACTTTTTAATATTGTCAAGTTATATTTTTTGCAATATATATGTGTATATGTAATATCAATTGTGTATAAAAACTTTTACTATGTAAAAATTAGATTTTGTTGGTCGTGAAAACTTGTGTTATTGGACCATTTTGTTTTCAGACATAGCCAAAGACGAGGTGTTTTATAAAACTTTTGGATATTATTTCAACCCACAGATTCAGGAATCAGATATTGAACATACGACAGTAAACAGTTATATATTACATTTGCTAAATTACGACCTATGACAGTAACCTGATGATGGTAGTTTTTTTCAAGTAATCTTCATACTTGTTCAGCTTCTTTGCGTGATGATGGGGATAAAATTGCCCTCGTAACTTTGTGATTTTGAAAATTTGATGGATTATTTTTAACTGCCATGTGTGCATTATCTGTCCTAAATGGATCGAATAAAGCCCAAATAGTTTTATGTTAATTGCGAATGAAGGACAATAGTTTACGTAGTATTTTACTTCGTAATATCTCGGCTGCCATGTGAACACTTTTAATGAACATTTTAGCAATAAAAATATATTTTGTAAACGTATTTTCTCATACTCAAAATTACAATATTGTTCATGTATCAATTTTCGTGTGTATACAACACTGCCTTGCGTAAGTTTAAGAACATTAGTTAAAACATTATTCATTCACCACGGTCTTATAGTTCTGTGAACATCACTAATATTTGATTCCGCGAAGATGAAACATTGAAGAAGATTTTAGTCAATGATACCACAGCTCTCACTAGTTTTATAACGGGTTTATTGTTAATTTTCAAGAAACGCGGAAAAGTATCGTGATAGATAATTTTATTTTTCCACCAAAGCTGAATAGAGGAGACAAAAACATAAGGGTGCACGAAGTGATATTTGTATCTGAGAGCATTTGTAGAGGGAAAGAGGAAAATGTAGAAATATCCACTGCAATTAAAATGTCAAAGGGTGGGTGGGAACAGTTTGCTGCAAGAGAATCGACATTGATGAAGTCAATTTTTATATTTTGTAAAATTAATATTTTTATAATTTAATTATATTACATTTTAACGATTTAATAAAGCCGTTATGCCACTTACAGTGATATTATTTGAAATTTTTCCTCTTATACTCTCAGAATGCCCCTCGTACGCCATTACGTTTTGGTCCCCTCAATTTAATTTTGGAGAAAAATTAAAATTATCTCTCACAATAAGACTACTTCTTAACGTTTCTCGCAAATTGAGCTTTATTAGAGCTCTATCATCACGGTGTTATGTATTGGACGTATTCATAGAATTATATGACCGTAATATGTACACATGATTTTTACTAATGTCCTTAAACATACACAAAGCGCTGTATACGATATAGAAATTATGGATCCTGTCGCCGGAAGAGTGATATGCGGTAGTGATGCGACATGGGCCACAAAACACTGATGTTGAGTAAAACATTGTCCCATAATCATCCATGATATTAAATATCTCTTTTTAAAACTGGATTAGCAACCATTGAAATTCACTCGGGGGAAATTTAGTTTGAAAGTGCCTTTTTTATTAATTTTTAATTGAGATTTAACTGGCAAAAGGAGGTCAAAAATCATCACGACAATTAAGATTACTTGGGTTTTCTGATTTGACAATTCAGAAATAATGTAGGCTTCTGTGTTAATGAACTCTATATTTTATTTATTTTCATCCTTAGTTGCTTTGACCAGAAGAATATTTAATTTGAGGATATCTGAAAATTATTACAGAATTTTATTACGATGGATTTTTTCATTTTAAAAATATCGATCACGTAAAAACATTGAACATAACATATCGACGTTAAAAAATGGCCTAAAAATGTATGTTAAATACATTCATGATTTTACGAAAACATCGATGTTTTGAAAACAGACATCGATATCGTTTTCCTAATGTGTACTTTGTGCGTTGCAGTCCCCAAGCGTCAGCGGCGCGAGGCCAGCGCGCTGGTGATCGACCGGCCCTTCCTTTTCCTGCTGATGCACCGCGACACGCAGTTGGTGTTGCTGGCCGGCAAGGTGGCCAATCCCACGCAGGTGCCCTGACTCCCAGGGGGCAGTGCAAATCCAAATCCACCCAACATCACAACTGACCAAATTGAACTCGATTTTGTAAGAGAAATCTTGGATTCTTTAGAAGTATTGTTTCATGGTTGGAATCGAAATAATGTGCAACTGGCTATTATTTAATTTAAGATTAAATTAATATTCAATTGATTCTATCTTACAAAAAATATTAGCAAATAAAGGAAATGTCCACTCTTTTGTCAATAAGTGTATTATTCAAGCTTCAATTGTTTGTTCAATGATTTATCTGTGAATCTTCCAACCGTCCTGACAAGAAGTAAGCGTGTAGTGGCTCTTAAAATCATACTTGTATTTTTTGCTGTATGTTTGTGCAGTTCTCATATTATGTAAAAGCCAGACACATAAAAGTATATTTACTTTACTCTTTTTCGCCTTATTTAATTTAATTGCATTAATTTGAATATGAAAATGAGAATATTACCATGTTTCATCATAATTTATTTTTTAGCGTTATGAAATTAAATTTCAAAAAGTTTTTCAAATGTTTTTACCCTTTTCTGAACCAAAGAATTGTGACAGAGTATTAAAATATTGAATAAGATTCTGATCTTACAGCGTTCACCCTGGTGTTTCCATAAATCCATTCAATAGCGAACTTTCATATTTGTAGCTTTATATTCATATTCATTATTTATATGTTAAGTAAAAGTAGTGATGAGATTGTTTAATTTTCCATAAGAGTTGATGGTGCGGATGTGAGATAATGTAATGAACTTGTAATAAAGAAATGTGTAAAGTTGTATTATTAAAAATTTATAATTTAATAACATTTCATTGTTTTAAATATTTAATAAACAATACAATTTAGCACATATACCTCAAACAGTTCCATCTTCACAATAAAAGAAAAAGATATACCTAATCTTTAAATGTGTAAAAAAAATTTCAATGGTTTGAAGACGGGATATTGCTTTTAAAAAATTTTAAAATGAAGTCTGTAAATAATTTCAGCAGAGTATTGCTGGCATGAATCGTTAAAACAATGTTTTAAAAAAATATAAATTTTTTTTCTAGTTGGCATAAAAATAACTTAGATAATAACAAATCTCATGTGAGAAATATCATAAATATGAGAAATGATAATTGGAACGAAATACATTACACAATATTTTCATGCTGTATTCACGTGTTTGTAAGTGATTATCACAGTGCTCACAATATGAAACATCTGTCTTCACAACTTTTCTTCAAGGCTAATCACTGGGAATAAGAGGATAAAGGCATTGGCCGTGCTGTTGGAACCGCCCAAAGTGCACACACTGAGCGGGCAGCGTTCAGGGGACCGGCTGAATCGCGAAGTTCGCGTCACAGTAGACAGCCGAGCAGCGCCACCGCGCTGCACCCAACGCCCTTCGTTACGCCAGTGGGTTGGACACCCGCCCCGCGAACAGCGGGAGGGAGTTTACCCTGTCCAAAATAATGGCGAGGAACGGATGGTCCGCCATGAAGGGTAAGTCGTCCATAAACGAGTTGAGGCTGAGCGTGTTCACCAGCACAGCTGAAAAATGAAAGAAAGATATTAGTCTTGGTCGTTAAATGATAAGAAATTACGTTAATTTTACTTTTTGTTTGCGCGTCATTTACTGCATCGAAAGTCGCAAATCTCGAATTATGAGATATGATTTAACAAAGAAATTGATTAAATTCCTAGAGAAGTAAGAACTCGTTCACAAAAAAGCCTACAGAATTCTGAAAAATAATATAAGACTGCGAATGAAGAACGGGACAAGAACATGCTTTAGTAAAGAGGATATTTTCAGTTGAAATAAAAGATTTAGGGTTCTTCTATCGCATTTCAGTAAATAAAAATGAAAGGTTTGTTTCACCAACTGGCAGGATAGCACGAGATCAACAAACCGTTTGTTTCCAATCCTGCTTTTGTTTCCAGTCCAACAACAGGGCATGTGTGAGAACAGCCTATTGACCTCTTATTGTCCCACTTCAGACACGCTTGTCCCTGTTTATAAGATTAAGGTTTCTATGAAAATGACTTTTTTACAATACAATATTTAGTATAAAGGCACTAGTTGTTGACAATGCCTTAGTGGTGGTCACTTCCAGAACAAAAAATGAAAAAGAAAGTTTGGAGGATTCCCACTTGCTTCAAACGTACAGCTTTTGCTTTGACTGTGGGGGATGACTACAAAGAGGATAATTTATTTATATTCCCTTCCTTTATATTTAAAGAATAATTTGCAAACAATGCATTAAAATAGGTAGTGCAATAATGTAACTTTAACTAGTACTTTTGTGGACTTTTGTGTCTCAAAAATGTTCAGGGACGTTCGATATTGAGTGGTCATTACTGAACCGGGTATCTGAATATTATCAAATGGTTGTAATCTTCATGTGACCACTTCTGAATCCAAGTCGAGATTTGGAAACAAATTAATAAAAAATACAAACAACAAATTTATAATTGAGTATATATTTAAGGTTAATAAATAATTAAGTATAATTTAATTCAGAAAGGATCTATTTAAAAAAAGAGAAGCTAATCACTCATTGATTTTCAGATAAAAAAATTGTAGCACAAGAATTTTAAGAAAACGATTAAGATTTTCTTAACTGTCGCCACTACTGGTACGCTTTCTAGTGGAAAATTTCCTTTTGTGGAAAGTTGAGAGGAATAATCGTACACGTGCACAGTCCGTCAGAGGTGATTAAGTGGATGCAGATTTATCGAAATATTTTTTTTGTCTCTGCCCAATTTACTCAATAGTAGTGGTCTCGTTTTCGGCCACACGCTTCCATTTTTCTCGATCTTTCTCCTTTCTCTTTTTTCTTTGAAAATGTTAAAACTATTGATTCATGAAAATCTTATACTGCAAATATTAACACACACTAAAGTACTCATGTGGGTGAATTTGTGAACAATTACATATTACACACGTTACCGAGACATGATCTATAGATACATTGATGGTTGTTTTTATACATTTATAATATTTTTTTTCAACGAGAAAGTAGATATTGAAGTAAACGTTTCCAGCTCACACAACACCTCAATACTCTAAACATTATAAAATGTATGATAAATATCACTGTAATAAAAATGTGCCTGTAGTTTTTGTACATGTAAAATCATAATAGTTTGGTGTAGCGTAAATAAAATCGTGTGAGTGCTCTTCACTAGAGGCTCTGACGTCAGCGCCACTCACCCGAAGCTGCCGATGCGGAGCTGCCTTCTTCGTTCACTTCAATTTGCGCCTTGTGGATGATGTCCGACACGAGGAGAGCCTGACTGTTGGTTGTGATGCCCGATAAATCGGACTTCGCGTTGAAGATGTCCGTGATTCCCATCTGGAAAGAAGAACAGCAATAGAATCAAATACTAATAATTGAGTACGTTTGTACATAAGTACATACACATTAAGTTTATAATTTCTGGCATTGCTTACCAGGCTAATAGGACCGGTTCAGTCAAATTACTCTAAACCTTATAAACGTGTGGAAGTAGTACGAGTAATTCGCCTCGATTTGGCAGGCCATCAATCTTTCAACTTGGTAAGCTCTATCAATACTGACGTCGGCCGCAAAGATTACTTTGTTTTATGTATTAACCTTGGTTCATGTCATGTTGTTAAAATTTAAAACAATCATATTCAGATCAGGTAGCAGGTGACAAGTTTGTTTTCATCAGGTCCGATTATGAAGTAGATTACAAAACTCGAACTTTTTAGTCAAAGAAATGATTTAATCGCGCCTTTCTCATTCAAATTGGTAAGTTATTTCTGTTAGAAAAAATTTTGTCATTTGATGTGCGTACGTGGATAGTTGAGAGCATGATCAAAACAACTGTGAATGATAAAAACTTAATTAAATAAAGTAGCTGTTGTATTTTCGAAATAAAATTATTAAAGTACAAACATTTTATGTAATGATATTACAATAAGTAACTATAATTTGCTAATTATTTAAAACAATGAAAGAGATATCCAAATAGAGCTTTACTACAGTAAGTACTGATCAGATCTGTTCAATTAAACAATTGTTTCAGAAGAAATCAATTTGACTGATTACTTATAAAAGGCTTTTTAGTGAAGAAAATCGTCATTGGTTTAATGGAAGATAACGTGCCAAAGATTGCTTCAGATTTGGCTCTAAATGACGGTGAAAGCACGTGTCACTCATTCATAAAATGACGCAACAATTTGAAATAATATATTATTCTTATTTCTGTGTCTCATCGATGTTTCCGTAAACAAACAGACAACTTTCACTCTTGACTCCGAGAATACCATTAAGTAAACACCACCTAGGAATTTGTTACCAAATAGAAGTTGCATAACAGCAAATTAAGATTATTTTTAAAACGGCTTTATTCGTTGAAATGTTATAGTTAGAAAATTCTAATTAATTCTCAAACAGTGATTTACAGCTTTTTATCACTTCGGTTAGACCGGTTTCGTGATGATGGTGATGAAATTACAGTGAGCCAGTGAATAAGTGTAGTTTTTGAAGCAATTTGACGTCCTGATTAAAGGAGCTGTGAAGTTTGGGTATCAGAATTTATTTGTTGCTGGTAAACTTTTAAAAATAATGATTTAAAAATAATTAAAATTTTCCCATAAAATTCAACAATATTGAAATTATTTAAATTTATTTTCAATTGAACATCATTGGCAATTTCAGTTATACGAGTCGCTGTATGTTAATCATATGTTGTGTTGCTTTTCCGTACAATTTTCATATATTATAGATATCATTATAAAGCAAAATATATTCTTGTGTTTATGTATATTTATATCCTTTTCTAAATTGAAAAAAATAACAATAATATATTCAGATGAATAGTTGCCAGATAATTCATTTCGGTTTCGAAGGTTGCATTTGCTTTAATTTTAGTCACTGTCTGTCTCTGCTTAGCGCGACTGCCCGCGAACGGGCCGGGGCCTGCTATCAGCGTCCCGGCCTCGCGGCTATGGGTTACGTGAGGTTAGCACTTCCCCTCGCCGGGTCTTCGCAACCCGAGAAGTGAGTTTTCATAACGTCACACAGCAACATATACTGGGACATTGCAAGGAAAACGCACACTATAATCGTGCCCCATCGGGAATCAAACCCTGGCGGGGTCGCGACATGGAAAGTGCGCACGCTGACCTATGAACTCAACCGCGGGGTCTTATTTTAGTCTCAGGATAAAATAAATATCTGTAATCATGTAAAATTAAAATCCAATTTATTATTTTAATTATTGTTTCGTTTTCAAAGTTACAATATATTATTTGTGTGCTAAATGCTTTCGGTGCTTCTTTTTGTGGTATTCAATTCTGAAAATCGTTACAAGCTTTACGTCAGTCACTACAGAAACGCCCTCTTATTAGATAGCTGTGGCTCGTTTTATATTTTGTTATTGATGACCCAGCTTCATTGTGGGTCTAGCACAAGCTTCTGCGCCCAATATCAGTAAAGTTTGCAATGCAAATATTTCCTAGACGTAAATAATGATTATTTGCCGTTCTGATAAATGTTTCGATCGTTTGTGTGCATAAGAAATGCAGCGCAACGAAGGGACGGTAAACCATATAGAAAACAATAAAATGTTAAAGGGAAGTAAATACAACATGGAATGAACGTCGCCACAAATACAATAAAAGGCAAGAATAATAACGAAGTTCATATTTTATTATCTTTCATGAATAGTATAAACTAAACGCACTGGATCATTCCTCGCTCGTTACATAATGTACTTTTTCCAATGTGTCTACAAGAATACTTTAGTAAAAGAAATAGTAAGAGTTATTAGAACGCATGATTTATAACAATTATTAGAACTAAATATTATTATAATCCATGGCCCACTACAATCAACGATGCTCAATTTCGTAAAGTAATATTGTAACTAATGCCTGGCTTTCTATTAATTATTATCAACATCAGCATGTCATCTTACGTAGTAGACTAAATAGCCATAATCGATAATTATAGTAAATTGTAACTTTAGAATGTGGATAAAATAATGTGGATATTCATATCATAGTGGATATTCGTATCGTAAATGTTTACTACACTGCTCGAATGCTTATCGAGCTGGGTCTAACGCCGTTTCCTCTGATCGATAGTTTTCCGTGGTTTCTCCAATCAATATCAGATAAAAACGAGTACCTTCGATACCTTCGATACGATACCTTCGATAAAGAAGAGTACCTTCGCAAACGGGCCACGGACCTCGCGTAATATTTTCCTTCGTCTTCCTTGTCCCCTCCTCTAGCATCACATACTCACCTTACACGTGCACGCAACACACCGTCACAGATGCGACATTTGATACGTGAGGTGCATTTCGATATATTTAATTCTTCTTGTTCTCTGTCGAAGTATTGTGATGCAAAGGGACTCACCGCCTGCAGCGCGGACACCAGCGAGATGGCGGAGACGAGGCGGAAGCGCGGCAGGTTGAGGATGACCTGCTTGGAGGTGCGCGTGTTGAGCATGTTGGTGAGGTGCTGCGACGTCATCCGCGTCAGCAGCGCGTCCAGCCCGTGCCGCTCGCTTGGCAGCACCAGCACCATCGAGAACTCCTCGCCCTGCGCACCACGCCAACCGTTTAGAAGGCATCAATATATAGGCTTTCGTGGACGGAGTCAATAGATTCATGGCTGCGTGGGAGACGCCTCGTCCTAGGCACAGTTACGAACGTTTCGATCGCCTGAAACCGCACTTAGAGCATGCATCTAATTAAAAAAATCATCCTGAGAAAGGACGATCGAAACGTTGGCAACTGAACCTAGGACGCTGCGACTCTCGTGCACGCAAGAATATCTCAGAGTAGAACGGTAGAACCTGCAGAACTCATACAATGCGTCGTTTTCAACTAGTATTTGTTCCCAATTATTCAAGGGGTGGTAACAAACATCCATATGAATTCCAAAGACCTTTAGGAGACTATGCTTTAGTTGGGCATTGTCCGATATTGTGAAAAAAATGTGGGTGATATCAAGCGTAAACTGTAGAACACCATAAGCTGTGCGCGATTTCCCCTCTCTCATCATTGTCCCCTCACTTCCCCTTACACATGTACATGAAATACTCTACCATACGTGTTGGAAGACCAAAAGGCAGCTTAAAGCTTGTCCTGGCTGGGGCGATGCCCCGTTGGGGAAGAAAGAGGTTGGGGGAAAGCCAGTAAGCCGACGTGTACGCATCTCACGTATAGAGAGAGGTACACAGTCACACCTCGGGATATAACATGCACTATACTTACTGGACTAAAGACCTAAATACTTAACGTGTCCATAATCACTCACTCACTCTCCCGTCCAGTTCGTTTTTCACTTCCCCTTTCGTTTTTTCGACTTAATTATGGGAATCTCATTCCCCTAAAGGGAACACTTTTTGATAGATCCCTAAGAGAAGAATGAGTAGATGGTACGTACGTCGAAGGGCAGCTCCACCCACTTGGCGCCCAACGTGGGGTCCTCGCCGCCGCGGAAGCGCCCGATCTGGTGCATGAAGGGCGCCTTCACTCGCGTGCTGGGCGTGGGGCTGAAGGGCGCGCTGTACGTCTTGTTCACGTTGAAGGTGCGCAGCCACACGCCGCGGAAGAAAATGGCGTTCGCCAACACCATCTCCGTGCGCGGCCGGATGGCAGCTGTAAGCGAGCACGCACTTTATGAGAATTAAATTTGCATTCAGAGGTCTTGCATAAGTGTTGTAAGAAAACATATACAAGTAAATGGGAATGGAGTTGTTTTGCCCGTTTCTATCATCATTATCAATAGTTTTTGAACAAAGTTCTCGATACTTCTATGAAGAGCAATGAAATTTCACTGTGTTCAATGACCCACGTTAGCGTAAAATAGGCAATAGGTTGATGTGAAAAAAACCTAGTATTTATTTCAAATCTGAACTAAATTGTAAAAGAATTTACTTAATTTGGCGTGCACAACTTTATACTTTTACTAGAAAGTAAATGTTGTGAACAAGTTGAATCTTGCAAGTTTGAAGTCCGGAAAGGAAACTGCATAATCAGGTTCAGTTTTACACAATTCCGCTTGTATTAAGCAACGCGGACTGAGCAGTTTCTTTCCTGAGCTTTTATACTGGAAAGCTGCGTCTTGTTTAATACAAAATTGTAATGTTGAACGTTTTTTGCAATTCCCGTATGTAATAATAATAAATAAATTATAAAATGTTATTAAAATGTATTTGTTTTCTTTATTCTCTCCAGTGCCCCGTATTTTTTTGATTACCACTTCCCGTCCTTCCGAAAAAAAAACATTCAGCTAACCCGATTCACGTGTCATAATGCGAGTGCAATAGTTATTTGGTACTCGTAAATACAAGAATATAGTCGCAATTATTATTATAAAACGATTATTATATTCTTACGCGCCCATTCAATCAGAAATATGCAATTTCTGTCGTCCCGATTGTAACCACACTCGTTGATCTTGACAATAAAAACTCATGCATGTGCGGTCACCACCATGCTCAAAAGATTTACTTATGAAATAAAGTACAAGCTCTGTTTTATGCACATTAGTTTAAGTAAATGCAGGAAAAATAAGTTCTTACAATTAAAGTATTTATTACAAATTATTCACTAAAAGTAAAAGCTAGTACTTAAGTTTAATTCACAAAAACATAAGGATTTACTTCAAAAGCTTCTATGTGAAAATACTTTTATTTACATGACTCAAAATAGTCTATTCTCCAAGAACCCGCATATGGTTGAGTTAATATACTTGTGTGAGAGAAAGAGGCGAAGAGCGTAAGAAAAAGTGAGAAGAGACGAATAGCGGAAAAGAGGAAGCAACAATTTTAGAGGAAACAATCTCTTACAAATAATTTCTAGAACGTAAGTATGATAATATTCTTTCTTCTGGTAGAATGGGTACTCTCGATGGAGCTTCAACATAAGAATAAAAGTGTATCTCAGATACTCTTAATTTTTATGAAATCGAACGTAAAATTGCGAAGAAAACGAATAATTTTAAGTTTAATTCTATGAGTACACTCAACAAGTTGAGTGATGATTGGTATCACAATTCTACTGCGTCAAGTATTGCTAAAAATGTTATTAAAACTTATAGCACTACACATTAGTACTTTAACAAAACTCATTTTTATTATATTATCAGTATTACTGGAAATCTGTTGTAAATGAACAGGCGTGAGATTGTATGCAGTCATTTGCAAAAGGTCAACGCTGTAACATTCATCAATAAATAAATATAATAATTTTAATTAAATATTTTTAAATAAGTTTATTCAATAAGTTAGTTAGAGAAGTTGAAGTTATTCAAAAGTTTAAAAAATTATTGACAATGTTCTAAATGGACATTAGCTTATAAATGTCTTAAAGAGTGAAATCTTCTAATATATGTGAAGTTTATAATTGCAATATTAATTGTAATAATGATTATCGCGAAATGTAATAAATGTTTCGTTGGTGAATAGTGTAAATCTATTGTTTTCATTAAAATAAAGAGTTCAGAAGCATGAGCCTCGGAAATGATGCTCTGAATGTTCAGTACATTTAATTTTCCCTCATCGGTGAGTTTAACGTTCTCAAAAGAACGAATCCCCAAAAGAACGAATCTGAATGGGCAAGCCTGAACGTAAAATTGGAACAGTTGGAGCAGAGACATGGAAGATGATGGTCAACGACTATGGGGTACTGTCAGTGCTGCTCCGGGAGAGGAAAGAGCTTCGCCAAATGGACGGAAGGTGTGGGAATTGAAAATAAAGGTAAGAGTTAAAAAATATTTACTTAGAATGTGATTCAAATCATTGTGTGTTGAAATATTTTGACATATTTGACATTGTTTGACATATATATGTTGACATGTTGCTGTGTATTTGAAGGCTTTAGGGAGATTTTTGATAATTATTAATTAATAGTACTCTGCATTCCAACTTTATTACGCCAAACATATCACTTTTTAGTAGTTTAATAGTTATTAGTTGAATTCCATCAACGAAAAGTGATGGATGATTTGAAAGAAATGTAATAGGTAGCGTTCCTGCAAATGTTTTATAAAATGTGCACAATGCCACAAATGGCTTAAAAAATACTTTTGTGTATAAGCACGTATTTTTAATATGTAGTTTAGTTCAGAAGTTAAACATTCAATGAAATGTTGCAAGTAGAATAGTTATTAGAATTACGGGAAAATTAAATATTCGATGAGGAATTTGTTTAATGTGGAACAATAGATCAAAAATATTATCATCCCAATTCTTTTGGATTTAATTTTAGGAGAATTTGAAATCTAATTTAATTATTCCGATCGTACACCAAACTTATTTCAAATCTACGAATATTTAGATAATTTAAATGTCGGAGAAACGATTTATCATTTTCCGTAATGAAATTTATACTAAGACTTCACCATTTCAAACGGTACTTTTTTATTTTAATTTTGGAGATAAAACATTTTGGTGTGTGGCTATTCAAATACGAATGTTTTCAAAAAATAATATTTGTTTGACCTTTACTTTTTTGTTAAATAATTTGTGTGCCTCTATAGCCATTAATTTCACACGCGCACGAACGTGGTCTCTACTTAATAAGGAAAAAAGAGTCCACTCGAAGGTTGTATACATTCGTTTTACCAAAACCTTTAATCATGGAAATGCGTACGTAACCTTGATGTTATCATTAACTCTAGCCTGTAATACTTCTTGTACTGAATACAAAGTTTTTCAGAGAAACAAAATTTACTACATGAATAGGCGAAATAAGATTTGTTACAAATCTAAAATGAACTACTCTATAATCTGCTCTTCATCTTCTACGAAATATGTGAACAAATCCTTGAACAATCAGTTGCAACGTCCAAACATGCATTGTTTGCAGATGTTTAAATGACACGTAATTAATATATTAACAGAAATACTTAGTTATTTTAAGAAGAAATATCTACATACTCCTAAATACACCGATTTGCAGTGGTTTTCGAAAATATTTTGCCCAATACGTATGTTTTAAAAATATATTTAATAGCAGCATCGGGTGTAATAAATGTACTGAATAACATAATAAATATTTTTTAGAAATTAAATTTTCTTGATGAAATGTAAAAGTAACAGCTCTGTGAACAGCACACTACATACCGAGGGCCTGCTCTTCAACGAAGGTTTTGAAGGTTCAAACAAATCCAAGATTACTTTGGCCGTGACTGCCTAGCAACTAAACTTACTGACAGCCTGACTGAAAAGTCTCGAAACGTATTCAAAAAACAAAAATCAGATACGTGGTTTTTAAGGTCAAGTAAAGTTCATGCGAAATTGAAAGAAAATCGAAAAAGCAGTTAGCCATGATCACATTATAAATATAGAGACAGAAAAATGCCCAACGGATGTGTTGGAACAGTTGAGGACATCACTTCTCTCATCGAACTTGTTTATAAATTTATTTTATACAACTGGAAAACTAAATACTATGACGAATTCAGCCGCTGTCTGAAGGAGCATTTTAGCTTCCGATTCTTAGTATGGGTGGTGTCCCCTGAGTTCTCTCAATACCAGGTTTATATCAATACGAAGCGAATGCCGGAGCAGTACAACTCGAATCCTAAGACCTCCGGTCTCGATAGCCGAGGTCGCTAAAGCTGAAGGACCGTAGCTGTAGGACCGAAGGGTCGCGGGTTCGAATTCCAACTCGTACCTGGATGCTTGTGTGTGTTCGTGTTGTCCTTACGTTTTTCCTACAGTTAAAGTAATCACAGTTGTCCCTACACGACCAAGTTGTTAAATAGCGATCTTAAAAAATAAAAATAAAATTTAAAAAAATAAACAATTCTATGATGCCCCCCCCCCCGGTCAGTCACATCAATTGATGCCCTGAGCCACCTCCACCGGTACGGGACGAACGAGCAAAGCCGTCGATGTGTCTCACCGGGGTGGATGAGGTCGGGGATGCGGTCGCGCGTGGCCTGCGCCACCCAGCGGTTGATGCGCCGCGCCGCCTGCTCCGGCGCCTTGAAGTTGGTTGGCTCGATGCTCGCCAGGAAGCTCTTGTACAGCTCCTCCTTGAACTTCGGCATCACCTGCAGCTCGTTGCTCACGAACACGGAGTTGCCGAACTCCAGCGCGGATTTCGTCTTGCGGTTCTGAGCACAGCCACAAAATGATCGCTTTAAGTACATACACAACCGAGTGAAATACGAAGTTGATAGCATTTACTTACTATGATCAACTCGGTGGTAAGACTTGAATGCATTTAATGATTTGCATCCGTCAGAGTTTTAAATGAATATTTAAAAATTGCTTAAACCTAGAGAGAATTTAACATTTTTTTAAATATGAAATTGTAGTGATATATTTTGAAATAATACATGTTGTATTGAAGTTAAATTAGAAACATATATGTTAAATATTTTTACGTTGACATTAATGCTTACATCGTCAGTGTACAAGAAAACCAGTCATTTTTGAGTTCACTGATGAAATACATTTATAAAATAGCCTAATTTTGTGAGTAAAAATATCCCAAAGAAAGTTTGCACGACCTTCTATATCGTTGTTTATAGAGTAAAAGTCAGGATCTTTAGTCCATAATTAATCAACTTTTCTCAGATAAAATGATTCTCTTGCAAACGACATTTGTAAGATGTCACTTTTCTTATGAAATGACGATATATGAATAAGACACTTCATAGTTCATGAGTCGAACTATTCTTATCGTATAAATTCAGATTCTAAGAATTCACTGCAAATGCTTTAACACCAAGTCTTTCTAGACTTTTATTGCATTAAATTTGAAATTAAGAAATATTTGACGAGTTAGAAGTGATGAACAGACGAAGAAGGAGCGTTTCAGATGTCACCTGCAATCGTTAGAGGGAGTGTATGTTAAACGAGGCAGAATGTCGTCAGTGTGTCAGCAATCACGACGCAGAACACACGTGTGTGGCGCAGCAAAACAAATTAGTCAACAAACTTAATGAAGTCTGAGTCTTAATCGATTCTGTTTGTGAGTAAACGTTTAATTTTAAGCTTTGAAAGCTATACAGGAAATATTGTTTAAGTGTGGCATCATTTATAAGGCATGCAAAAATATTAATTTAATGGTAAACAATCGGCGTTGATAGTTGTGAACGTGATAATGTGTGAAATTATCTACTCTCTAACGGACAGGGTATTTAAAATGAAAAATATATTTACGCACTATGTTTTAGAATATTTTCATTAAAACGGACAGTGTACATTCTTGAAAACTGGACTTCTACCATTTTACATAAAGCATGACAAATGAATTGCAACAGCCGGAATACCTACATTACACCTAACAGGATTTATACAAATCACCGGATGTTTATGTTACTTCAACACAAACCTGTAGAGAAAATGGACCGGTTTCATTACAGCCGAGTAAAGCTGAGAGTAGTTATCCGAGAGTAAGCATTTACTCTAAGATAGTAACTCTCGAGTAGAATATAAGCATTTCACCATGCTTCTACAGGTTTATCTTACTCTAGAGTATATACTTTCCGATTTACTCCGCGAATCAGCTGAACGCGCAATATTTCAGAGGCTGCGAGCGAGAGAGACGCTGGGAACCACTGCGGACGAACGCGAACCTTTGATTAATTGCTTATATTCTATCATTCATTTCAGTTTCGGAGTTCTTGGCATTATCATCTTCTGCGGTGTTATCGTGATTTGAGTTACCATAGTTTATTTCTTACTAAATATTCATTCTTCTTGTCTAGAGATGAGTTACTATTTTGTTAGCAATGCAGAAAAATCAAATTTGCAGTTCGTTTACCGATGGCGGTGCAAATAAATTTTCTATAACTCTGGAACGAAAATGTTTAGTTTTCAAATGTTGATCTCCCTTTCTAATTTTCATTATTATTATTATTATTATTATTATTATTATTAGTTTCATTTTTGAAATTTGTATTCACCTTTCAACTATTTATAGTTAAAATGTTGGAAAGAGATTCTGGAACTCAAGAAAGCGTGCAAATGATCTTCCCCATACGTCAAATACAGTTTTTACTAATAAATATTTCTTAGTACTTGTAATTCCTATAGTTATTATTTTTCCTTTTGTTATCGTATAAGGTTCGTACTACCTTTATTTTGTATCCACATGGTCAAAAAATTAATTTACAAGTTCTCTACAGTTTACAATGTATCTGATGAAGTTAACAGCTGATTTGGTCAAACATAACCTCGTGTCAAAATCTCGATCGTCATAATTAAAACCAATTCACTCTCTCTCGCACCCATTGTCTTGCGGTCTTAGTGGATAATATTCCGAATCAATGCTGAAATCGTCTTCAAATACTATCATTCGTAATCATCGAGCCATAACACCACTTTGGAGGTACATGCATGTTGAAAACTGAGCTTACTCCGTACTTTACCCCGCGGATTTTTGCATTGTAGATTTACTCTCGAATTTACTCTTGATTTACACTCGAGTAAAGTGTTGTTGAAACGCTCCAGGAGTTACTCTCGAGTAAACATGATTTACTCCAGGGTAAACTCTTACTCATTTTTTAGTGAGACCGGCCCTCAGAACTAGAAGTACATATTCGAAAGACATTTTACAGATGTTTGTAATCCTCAAAAAACGTTGTTTCATCTCAATCTCGAGAGAGGAGGAGAGAGAGGAGAGAAGGAAGGAGAAAGAACGAAAGAAAGAGAGAGAGAGTGTCTGAAACAAGGACGAGGCGAGAGGTCGGGGCGGAGGGGTCCTCACCTTGAGGCTGTGCACGATGACGTTGTAGCCGTCGCGCAGCTCCTGGGCCGAGGCGCGCAGGGCGTGCTCCAGCTGCGCGCTCGAGTTGCCGCCGGCGCCCTGCGCCACCATGGCCAGCATGGCCGACACGCTCAGCGGCGACACCACCGTGTTGCCCCCGGACTGCCCCAGCACCGTCTGCAACGCAACGCACGGTTAGGCGCCTCCTCTACAGTGGCGGCGATGGGTGGGCGCATGTTGCGAGCGCAAGAATGTGTGAAGTTGTCTACTCTCTGACCGACAGGATATTTTAAAGCAAAAAGCTATTTAACACTATATATTTCAGGATGTTTTCTTTAAAACTGATAGATTACATTCTACCCCCTTTACATAATATATGATAGATACATTGCAATAGCCAGGATACCTATACTACACCTGACAGAATTTTACCAATAACGGATTTTTATACTACTAGAACATTTGTACCTGAAGAGAAAATGGTTATATGTAAATTTACCAAGGGTTTTTACAGTTGTCATTTGCAATCCTTAGAAAATGTTTCATCTAAATGAATCAGAGAAAACAAAATTGTTCGATGTCCAGAAGCCTTAATTTTTGAATAACAAGAAAAAAAGTTTTAAGTTCCGGACGTCAATCATTTTTTCTTGATATTAATAGTTGAGACACTCTACAGACGCCACGAAGTTCACGAAAAACGAATTTTTATACATAGCAAGTTTAATTTATAGTTTAAGAACATTCCCCTCCGTTAACTCAAAACCGACAAAATGTGACATGGAATCTTTGTGTTTGCTCAGATTCAAATCCTACACCCTACAGTCCACACATCTTAAATTGCCTTTGGGAAGACATTCGAAAAAAATGTAGTTTGGGATAATCGTGTTTGAAGTGATTTCACTGCCATTGAAAATATAAATAGTAAATGTTTAATTATGAAATAAAGAGTAAACATTCTAAAGGTTTCATAAGATTTCTATAAAATATAAAATAGTCGTAACTGATTCTTATTATTAGAGTTGTACCAGTGCTGAAGGCCATGGACGATATATCACAGCATAACACATACGGTTGTGATTTGCTAGGAAAAGAAAATAATATTGTTTGGAAAGCCTGCAAATCGGACATCAGATAAAACAGAAAGAATAAAAAAAATCAATGTAATATTGTATTGCTTGTGTTTTCATGGCATGAAATCATAAACGAAATATTAAAGTAGAAATTGAATTAATAATTAAAAAGTTTTAAAACGCGAAGTCTTCATCATAATTAAATGCTTATTGAAAACATATTACGATATTTGTACAAAATGCTTGTGAAAATTCAATTCTTAGGCAATATATCTCTTAATTATTTAAAGACTGAAGGGGTTGTTTGATAGAAACCAAATAAGTTTCCTATTTCCTAATGAGTGAAGAACCTACTAGACATCTAGATATCAAAACAAAATTTTAAAGAGTTAAAAATTCTGCGATTTTGAGGCAATGATTCGTAGCTACGAATCTGAAAACTAAATTATAGTAATAACTTTTGCATTAGTGTGTGTTGTTTCACGTTTCAAAAACGAACAAAGACAATGCAAAAACGTCACCAAAAATAAAATAATAATGAAAAATCATAGTATAGGAATAATAAATTCAATCCGAGCGTAAGAGATTAATGACGATATTTTCATAGCTTGGATTTTGAGCTGAAAAAACACTTGAGAGATGAATAAAATAAGTCATTGGAATACTATATTAATTTTCATTGTGATGCGAATGCAGATTTCAATGTTGCTTAAATTACAGAGTAAAATTAATATTTGCAGCCTATCAACGTGTTGAAGTTCTTGTAGATATATCTTTAATAACTGTTGTTCTCATATTTGTCTCCAGTAATACCTTGTAGCATTCACTGCAATGCATTAAAAACGGTCGAGGACGATGTGTTAGGCACTCACATGGAGGAATTGAATTTCGAAGGACTAGAATATGCCCATAATTGAAAAGGCTTCCTTCAGAGATGTGGATTTGTGGGAGATGTCTATCTTTGAGAGTAATGCTGAAATTATGCTAATAGATTCACATACAAACTATCTATTCTTCGTACAAATAAGACAGGATATTCGATAAAGTTTCAAATATTTTTTTAAATTGTTATAGTAGAACAAAGACAGTGTTACATTGTGGCATTGAAAGACGGTGAGATGTAACGTATTCCTATTCCTTCTCAGTATTTTCTCTCACGTGAGATCTGGTATATTTGTTGAACCCAAAATAACCCTCTCTTAGTAGAAAAATCGTGTACTCCCGTCGCGTTACGTGACTCTTGTTGTGGCTGACAAGACCACCTTTCCTCCTGGTAGCAGGTCGACAACGGACCTTCGCCCAAAACGTGCGTCAAGCTGAAGGAGTGAACAGTTTACACGTCGCTGGGAAAACCGGACATGGTTGCAGAGACAAAGTCGTCTTTCTGTGAATCTTCCAATTGAAGGTAAAAATGTCCGCAGGAAAACGTCCACAAAAAGAAAAGTTCAGTTAACATGTTTTCTGTACCACAGGTTCGCTCACTTTAAATGTTCACATCCACTTTTATGTATGATGAAAAGTTCATTGTATAAAGTCCGGAGTCTTCGGTATTTATCGTCTGCCTTATGTGGTATCGACGCTAGTGTAATGCTGCTCCTACTACAAAGCCCCTACTACTAATAATGATAAATATCTAAATATCAGAACTGTTCAAAACAATTTTGAGGTCACAAAAAACTGGAAATCGCAAGTAACAATTCCGGATTGTAAGGGGTATGTTCGAACCAGTCTTAATGCAGGTATTTTCATAAGGCGAAGAATCTCAAACATGGCTAAGATTAACTACACAATGATTCCCTGCGAGATACAAAGAAACGAGTGTGCTTCCGGCACAAACAGGATATCGACTTATTAACGCAAGAGGAAAGTATTCAGGAGCTCATTCCAAACAGTTGAAAGAGGCCGCTGTGACGTACGTTCGTTGCTTTCCTCGTTTCCTCAGGTGCACAGCGCTCGCTGCGCGACGCGACGGGGCTGCGCGGGTGGAGCAAAACATCCGGGAGGAGGCAAGAGTTCAATGGCGGGAAGTTTTGGAAAAGAACTCCGGCAGGGGAACTTCCGGCAAACAAACAATCGTAATAAGGAAATAAGAGGCTTACTTTTGCTACGATTGTGAAGTTCCAGATTACCTTCAGAGGTTGTTGAGCCTCATTTGAAAGCTTGGGAAGAGAATCTTGGGAAGGACTGAATCAAAATGTTTCCCTTGGTAGGAGAAAAAATGTATGATTCAAGAAATATATGGTCATTAAGAGAAAAAAGCCATTTCAACTTCAAGCTGCAAGTTATAGAGGCTGACATGTTTTTAAAATATTAATTGAAAAGAAGATTAAGAAACACAAGAATCTCGTCGCCCCAACTCAGAAATGCGTAGCGAAGCGTCAACTGAGATGCATAGTGAGGTGAGGTGATGTGATATGAGCTTAGATGATGTGTAAACAGAAGGGGATTCCTACACTACAACTCTAATAAAAATAATATTTTTGGAAGGTTTCTTAGCCCCCGTCTTACCACCCACACCCCTCTACTCTCAAAAACGTGTTTTTAAAAAAACTTCCACAAATGAACAATACTTTATCTGATTGAAAACTATAACATACAAGGAAATAATTCATACTATCAGAAAAATACTTTTTGTTATTTTCTCAGCGCCAAATTCAAAAGCAAAAAATATTTTGAAAACAAAATTTTTTAAAATTTTACTGAGTTTTAGAACCCTGGAATATGCTTGATAAAAATCTCAAAAGTACCTCTCAAACACAAATTGTTGTTAATTTTTTCTTCCAACTTCTGGGCTGTAGTTAAAAATAAAAAAAATATTTTCCCTCTTTTAAATCATCTTGACTTTAAACATACTATGCTATTAACTGCAACAGTTGTGTGGATTTATTTGAGTGTTTCTTACACATTTGTAATTATTGTAGGAGCACTCAGTAATATTTTTACTTCGAAATGCAGTTACAAATTATGTTTTTAAAGCTTTCAAATACTTTGTGTACGTATATCATATGCTAAGGAAAGACGATAGTGCAAAAGTATTATTTGTATGTTAAAGTTATAGTATAACTACTCGTATTTCATTTAGTTTGGGGGGACATTTTACCATCTTATCCAGTGGTGCCCTTTGTGTCTGACAGTTAAACTCGAAACTACTCACCTTCAATATTACTAGCCTTAAAAACTTGCCACCACATAACTTATTCCTGCTTATCTCAGAATATCTGCTATTCCTCGTCACAGTACTCCCTCTACCATAGCAACATCGTGTTCGTTAGTGCGTGCTTCACCCGTCCGCAATACGATTCGAAGCATTTTTACTTCGGACTTTATTAATTTTGTATAATGTGAATAATAACTAGATCATTCACAAATTAGCCAGCTTCAAACACTGACTGTAACATTTACAAAATACCGTGAATCAATTCCTCCATATCTCGTACCATTTTGCGAACAAAACGGACGTTTTGAATTCTGCATAAAACGAATGTAAAACGTAGAGCGGCCTTGCGTTTAAGAATTACCTCACTTGGATTCACGCAACAGTGGGATTCCCTTGAGATTCTAGGTTCGAACCCTAGCGTGGCGTGTTTCCGCTTCGAGTCAATTAAGTCCCAGGAGGAGGCACCGCATGAGCCAAGGTCGCCGGGCCAAGACCATGTTCGCCATTCGCTGTTCCGGTCAGGATAAAATACCTCCAAGGCGCCATATTTTCCTCATCTTAATCACCCTTCATGATTGTTACGCATACAGGCAGTCCTTGCTTCGAATATTTCCGGGCACAAATTATGAAGATAACACGTTTTCAAGAGCTAAAGAATACGCAATGAATGTGGTTGTGAATGAGTGCGTTGTGTATCATGGATATTCTTATAAATTGTTTCAAAATTTATCATAAAATGAAACTGTGGAAAACTTGCGAAATTTTTTTCAATAGCGTTGCTGCATTTTTGTGATCGTAATAAGGAACTTCTTTGGGGGTTTGTACACATTTCCTCAACCTTTTTAAATTTTAATAGATCTGATGTAACTTCTCAATGCAATAATTAATTACACCGATTTTTATCTCCTAAAGTTGTTAGACGTGGGGGTATGGACGATGAGGCGATGATGATAGTGATGGGTGAAAGGACAGCACACACATACATACATAAATACACCCATGCCTGCTGCGGGACTCGAACCCTCGGTCTTCTGGTCCGAGACCGCTACGGCACTACTGCCGACTACTAACGATCTCGACAATCTGATGGACTAAATCTCTAATATGAGGAATATAAAAAATATTTCCTTTGAGAATAAGATACAGTTCGATAAGATTTCGTAGTAAAATGTCGAATAACTTAATAATGTAGAAACTTTCAGTAATTGGTTTGTCATTTGCTTTTAGTAATTGATTGACGTGTCATAACATGAAAATAAAAGTCCAATGAAGTTATACTGAAAATAAACAACACATTATAAAGAGAATTTCATCTAATCAAAGTATGTGCCGAATTGTGGCCATTATATCTGCAGTGCACTTGATTCGCAGTACGAAATTTGATAATTTTACTCTGAACGAAAAAATCATATCAATATGGGAATACACGAAGTTGTAGAAAACATTTAATTAGAATTCAATAAGGAGCGCCCAACAGAACGCTTTGCAATAAGATTGATGAACAGTTTAGCAATGAACGTTGTATAAGAGAAACCGGATTTAAATTCTGACCACGGTTTCTTCGATCTATCAAAACCTTGATTTTTCTCGCGTTAATAAATTCATTTAAGTAATATGCACTAAAATTGTTCATCGAAGTAAAAATACATTTTTTAGCATTCATCCGTAGTTTGAAAATACTAGTAAATATTAAGAACCTTATTTTTTCTTGACCTATAAAATCCAAATTTACTCTTCGACGCATTATCGAATAATTATACCAATTTTATTAATGCAATGCAGCAGAGCAACATGTGTTTATCTGTTAGTAGCATGCAAACGTACAAGTGTGCATGTATATTTATACATATATTATTACATATCATTACCATATGTGATGATAGCTTATACGAAGTGAATGTATGTTAATAAAAATTAAGAAGACTTGAAGGCCTGATAAAGGTCTCATTAAGAATCTAAACGTCGGTTTTAAATAAGTGTTGTGTTTGGTGTCTGTTGTCAATAATATGTTTCTTCTTGACCTTGCATACTACCCTCAACCACCTTTTTACAATGCAAATGACTGAATATTGAAACAATTTGCGTGAACATGCTGGATACGTAAACGAGGTGGTTGGCGAGGGGCATACGCACCCGAATGAGCTCGACGGAGAAGACGCTGGAAGATTCTGCAATGCGCTTGCTGGCCCTCTCCTGCGGCACGATGCTGCTCGCTCTGGGCAGCGCCACCGCCACCGCCGTCGCCGCCAGCCACACCCCCAGCGCCGCCACGCACCGCCCTGCTCCTGCAAGCACACAGCACATTTAGCACTCATAGCGCAAACAGCACACGCTTCATGACTTCTAGGCTGTCCCTGTCACACCGCGTCGTTGGCAGAGAGGAAGGCGTTTCGCCTGTCATATCGCAGGTTTCTCACTACCCTGAAGAAGCCTGCGATATGATAGGCGAAACGTCGGCCCTTCTGCCAACGACGCGGCGTCACCCGGACAGCCTAGAAGTCATGAACTCGAGCCGCGGAAGCCTACGTGAACACACACTTCACTCACACCACATATCATGTCCTCTGCTGGGCTTAAGGTCTCTGGAATCGGCAAAGCGCTGGTTACACAGATTCAACAGTAATTACACTCGGTTATTACACCATGGTGACTCACGATATTGTTCCCCTGCATGACTTCATTATCAGCTGACTTCGGAAGCATCAGGGTTCCACTTAGTATCAGTTCATACGTTTTATTAATTGCTAGAATAAATAATTAACTCTGCGATAAACAATGTATTGTAAGTGCATCTGAAGTTCAATTCTTGAACAGCTTTACTCTTTAGTTTGACAAATACACAAATATGTTTCGTGTTCTCTATTTATTCCAATACCTTGTGAATATCAAATTAGTGATAATGCTAAATATTAAATCTCCCACGTAGACACAAGGATAATTATTTTTATCAAGTTTTAAGTTATTTAAGTTATCAAGTGATTAATTCTATAGAATATCAATCCATATCATAGTCCAGTTTAATTCAATTTTACATCAAATTCATCTCATCATTATCCTTCTGTAATTCTCTAGGCCACACACCCCTTGCCTATCCCACCAAAAACATTTAATCTTCCCTTGTACACTCCGCTCTCCACTACGATTCCCTCATCCTCTGTCCACACATCTCTTCAACTCATATTCCCAATTTTCACCTCCATTCCAGAAATTTTACGCAATCTATCACTTTTCAATCAAAATTTGTCATCTTCTAAATCATTCCCTAGACCAGGGCTTTCCAACTGGCGATCTACGGGTCGCATGCCGCCCACCGGATCTTCTTGTGCGGCGCGCGACTGCTTTGAAACATTGTATTATATCAACCAAATACAAGGTTTTTAAGTTATTCTATTAAGCATTTTTATAATTATTGAACTGCAATAATAATTTTCTCGTTGTATGTACATTAATCATTGAGTATGCTGAATAAAAGTCGTAACTTTATATAAATATAAATATATATATATTTATTATATATATATAGTATTATATTATAGATATATATATCAGTATAATGTCAGGGTAAAAGCCATCTTAAATTACGGTGAGGCCCGAGCCTAAACTAAAATTTCATATATGACCCGTAAGCCCTTCTAAGTTGAACAGCCCATCCTTAGACTATACCTAGCGACTATGGTCATTTTCGCATCACCTTCTTTCTTAAATACTCCGATCACTCATTTTGTATAATGATTTCTTCTATTACCCGTTCCTATTCATAGCTATAAATTTCTTTAAATTCTACTCAAATTATTTCTCCATTCCATATGCCCTTTTGATCTAAAAACCCGAATACTTGAAGACCTCAACCTGCATTATCACCCTACATTTCCATTTTAACTTTTCTCCTTAGCCGTATTAAACTCCATCACTTTGCTTTGTCGTACATCCAGTTCTAGTTCTGACATCCCGGAATCTCTACGTAACATTCGTTCAAAATCTTCCTTTTAACTTTTCCTTTCAAGAAGATACAAGAAAATAAAAATAACAATAACAATATACCATACCGACTTGTCGGTGTAGTATACACATTCCTTCAAAATCAGAATTATTGAAACTAATTGTTATATTATATTTTAACAATGTAAGCCAATAGCAAAAATAGCTATATATTAATTCAATTAATTCGCACTCCCTTACTGTTTATTAAAAAGAACTAAATTATAAAACAATTTTCTCGCGGTCACTTCTAAAATTCTTATAAATCAGAGTAAAGAAATTTATTTAAGCGTATTTTCGTGAAATAAAATGCGCATTCTGAATGCATTCAAAACCTTTCAGATGAACTTGAAGCAAAACATATCTTTACGGTACTTTAACTACCGTACGGTCGCCTCTGAACTCAAGAGGACTCTAAAAATCATTTATAGTCCATGATCATTGCATTCTGAAGATACGGCATTCCGTCTTCGCGGTTGAGTCATTAATTTAAATGATGTATATTGAGTATATATTACGGATTCGTATTTTTGTAATGAAATAAATGATATGTTACGAGTACGTTAATTTGATTGAATTCTGAAAGACTTACGGCTTTTTAACAGTGTGTACTGAGCTTATTTTTATAAAATTCAGTATACTCATACGAGAGCAACTCCAACTAAAAGTCTTTAAAATGAAACCTGATATTTTTTCTAATCCCATCAAAACGTCACTTAAAAAAGCGTTATCAATGGCATTATCAATACGAATGTCTAAGTCTCATCTCTTTCAGTTGAATGGTACACTTTCCCTTTGGTTGGAGTATGGAATACATTTGAGTTGAAGATTCAGTTCTTGAGTTGGGAAGAGATTATTCAAAAAACATGGGAATAAACCATAAAAGGTTTCTAAACCACCTTATAAATATTATCAATAACGCTTTCTTTATAATTTCATTTAACTAGATCGCTAGAGAAAATTACGTTCTCCTTTTCCTCCAAAGTGTTTTATTTCTTCATTCAATAAAACTACAAGGAAGTTAAACTGCCTCAGAAGGCTATCCTGTGAAAATAGGTTGTATTTAGATATCCGCGAAGAGAACAATAGTTTCTGACGACTCATCACTGTTCTTCCTGCAGCCGCATTCTTATGCGTTCAGTGCAACAAAACATTTGCGAGTCATCCACAATCTGTTTAGAACTCAACTTGCAGTTATGATAGGGAAAGAGGCGCGAAAGTAGCGCGGCAATTACTGCTCTCCGTAGTGTCATAGTTCGCGTAGCCAAGTATATTCATAGTTCTAACAGGACTTACTTTCAAAGAAAGTAACTTCCTTGTTTTGCGTGGACCACAATTTATGACCTCCTAATAACGAACACTACTTTTATAGAAAGTTATTTTCAGTAGTGTCACATTAAAAGCTAGATAAAGTAAAGAAATTTCGATTTTGTTTTGTAATTCCTTCAAACTAATTTCGTCTCTTATCTCTTGATTTCTCAATACAGGGTGATTCGGTTCTCGTTGCTAATATGCTGAGGCCTTGTCCCATATGTAATGTATAAACTGAATTTGCTAACCAAAATTGGATACTCTTCGTCGTTTAGTTTTGAAAATAATTAACGTTAAACTTTGGACTATGCACTTGTGCTTGTTTAACATGGGTTACGGCCAGTGATTGAACGGCTTAGCCTCGCGTTAGGGGGCTCGCCATGTCTCTGGAAAAAGCAGTTGCTAATACTATCCAAGAAGTCCCGGAAGCGAGCAAAGGGGAAAATCCGCGCTAGATCAAAGCATCATAGTCCGTCCTCTGGTGAACAATTCATGCGGAGAGATTACGACTTTTCCACTTCTAGCAGGTGCAGCATTTGCGCGGTAAGAATTTTACGTCGTTTTCCATTCTCTCGGTATTTCCCTCGCAAATTCAAAGAGAAAAAACTTACATTGTCAGGTAAAGCGTGTTTTACTGTAACTGGCGCAAATAATTTGCATAATTAGCATGTGAGGGCAAAAAAATTCCGCCATTTGTACTTAGTGTAGCTCACCAAGAGCGATTCTCTGTAAACGTGTCAGTTGGCATTGTGGAAAAATTTATTCTCGGCCACATCTCACCCGAGTGTTTAAGGGGCGTTCAGTTTCTGAATTTTATAACTCAGGTACTCCATACGCTTTTAGAGCTCGAGGTGAATGAAAGATCGCATTTATGATATCGACGTCGTGGAGCGTGATGACCTCTTCGGCGCATTGAAAGCGTTTCGGCAGAAATAAAAGTAGTTCAACTCGGCAAAGTTGTGTGCGTCACGGGAGGCCAGATTCGCCAGGCCTCGATTTCTTGCAGGAGGAGGTCGTTTTGAACACTTATTCACCATTTACTCAAGGTGAAAGTGCGAATTTTTGGCAAATATAATAAACTATCCGAAATAACACTTAATATTAGTTTTTCTCTTTCTTTTTATATTTGTTAGATATGTAGGCAATAATAGAAATAGGGAACAATATTCAAAGTAATATTTGGGCTACCTTTCTTTCACAAAATCGCCAATGACAAGAAAACTTTTTTAAAAAAATGTTGAATAGTGTTTACTCTATTGATTACAAAAGTTATATTTCTAACATCTACAATTGATCACAAAAGGATTGAATTAAGCACTTTTTATTGTTTAGGAAAGTCAAATATTTTTACATTTATGAAAGTGATAACAAGCATTTTGTTCTCGTTTTCACTTTCATTTCATTCAGTCTTTCATTCTTTTCGTTCGCGAACTATCAACAGCTCAACTGCACCGGAAATGAGTGCAATTGCCTATCAAGCGCGCGCTGATCGGGGACGAGCGTGAAACGTCCTCTTTATATTGACTTAAAGATATCCTATGTTCGATGTGTTGGGTGAGGGATTTCGGTGCGTAGTCAATTGTGTATTTGTTTAGAGAATATTTGCATTTCAGAAAATTAGGGAAAGTATTTGCCTTTCGGTGTAACAAATTTAAAAAATGAACAATCTTCCAAAATTACATGATTTAGACAATTTTTGAAAAAACATATTAAAGGCTGACAATTTAGACTTCGTAGGCACTATTTGATGTGTTCTGTATTTTTTCATGATTTGTAAGCATCTACAATGATTTTCCACAACCTCTTAGAGGAACTAAATAAACATTTGTATTAAAATCCGAGGTGTAATTATAACGTAGCTTAAAGTCCGGGAAAAATATTAGTGTTGAACGAGAAGCTTTAAATTCAAAACAAAAATAAAATGAAATTGAAAATTAAAATTTAAAAACCCTGCATAGCCGTTCCCCTCCAAAACCAATTGTCAACTACGTATTTT